GAGGACATCCTCCACATATGGTTGAGGGAGCCTGGCTCCAATACTAATCTGGTCCCACTGTTTATAAAATAAACAGTCCCATGAACACTAACCTACAGCCTGCCCAGTCTCCTCACTCCTGCACCCTCAACTCTGCATCTGGATGACCTCTGACCTGGACTGTTTGAACTGTGCTTCCTGTCCGACACGATGTGACTATAGCATAATGGCAAAATCTGTACTGTAGGCACTTTTCATGCACCGGTGGAGGGGATTACCAACATATCCTCATGGAGATGGCACATGTGGCCCTCCCACACATGATTAAAACAGGGATGCAGTCCAGAACTTTGTCTCACACCAATATCAATCATAAAAGTCAAAAAATAAGTTTTTAATTTAAAAAGAAAAACGTGTTTTCAGGATATGGATGCGAGGTTAAAAACGTGCAGGTAAGCATGCATTTTCATAAAGCTCTTTATTTATTGGTGTTAAATGAGTCCCAATTGGGAAACCTTTGCCTGTAAAGACAACACCACTACTTTTTCAAAACAAGGCTGTTCATGCAGACATCCACACACAGACACCCCCGCCCTCTCTTGCTCGGAGCCCTGAGCCTGCTAGGCTCACTGGTGGTGGAATGAGACGAGATAAGCCCATGGTTGGCCTCCATCAACACATGAGGCTTTCCAAAGCGAGTAGTGTTACAGACAGGCGCTCCTCTGGGGCTCAGTGGGAGTGGGAGTGGACTGGGCTGCTCAGACATTAGTAGGTAGCTAATCTGCCTCCAGCCAGCTTGCTGATGCCCACCATCTGTGTCTCTAACTCATCACCCACAGGCCAGGAGGCTCTGCAGGCACACACACAAGTAAACAAACACCCAGAGAGAGCCATTTAAGAGCCAATTCTCTACCTGGCTCGGTTAATTACTGATTATCAGCGCCACCCAAAAAGCAGAGGACGGGAGCCAGTGACGAGGGGTAAGGGGGGTAAGGAGGAGGCAACTGTGAACAGGGGCACATTAACTTCACTTTGCTTCATCATCATCCTCATTACACAGGGAATTTGCGTCAGACATAACTGCAAAACAGCTCAGTCAGGGATCAAGGGTATAAAACAAACTATTGCGACAGACTTAATTACCACCAGCCGCGAAAAAGTCAGAAGACTCGAGGAGTGTCGGGAAAAATGTTGCCGCCGGTTATGCTTCATTTACTTGACGAGACTTCACAGTCATAATTGTAAATGCCCCTGGCACTACTGATCAAGGGGATGTAGAGGGTTAAGAGGTCAGGAGGATGGGTGCAGGGGTGGGGAAAACTGACGGAGATTAACTGAACTGAAACTCCTCAAGGAGTATGACAGCCACACAGGTGCGCTGCACTTACCCCCCAACTAACCCCCACACAACCGTCATTTGGGCCCAAAATGTCCTGTGGGTGTAGCAGGCAGGTGATTAGCAGATACAATTACTATGCCTCACTTACCTTTTAGCCACTGACCCATACGTTCAAATGTGACTCTAAGCTTTTTAGAAAGGGCTCTTTTGTGTTTCAGTGCAAAGAAGAACATCATCTAAAAGTTTGCAGACTGAATTATTTGGTCATTTTTTTGGTCATTTCAGTAATTGTTAATTTCACCTCTAATCTATCTCTTGAGTTCCTTGTTCCTTAATGTATTCTTTCAAAGTCACGTGCACTGTCTTAACCAAATAACCTCAAATGGTTTTAGTTTTTTTTAACCCAAACCCCCACCACCACCAACACCACTAATCATACAGTCCCTAAAGCAGTGCAGCACGTCCACTGGGAGTAACTACAATGAGAACTGTGATGACATTTAAAGCACTTGCTAAATGCACCCATGTGAATTTTGGGGTGTTATTCTGCGGTAACATTACCCTCTAAGTATTATCCATATCTGTAGCCACCAAATCTCTAAATACAAGCAGAATTATACAATGGAAACGCTGCAAGTGCCAAAACCGCATTTTAATTTTTCTGGCAAGACTCAGCTTTCTACGTGACAGGAAGGCTGAACCTCCAGGCATTGCTCCAGACTGAAAACATTAACACTCATGCATGGGATTATTTAACAGTAGTCTGTATTTAGGACGTCCAAAATACCACACTGGAGCCAAAAGATGGAAAATATTTGCAAAGCTATGTCTCGAAAGCGGGCTTTAAAGTTTCCATCCAGAAGAAACGTGCAGCACCAGGGAACACACTCAAGGTGATTTTTACTAATAACATGCTACATTACAGGGGAAAAAAAGGGCAAGTAATGCCATAATGCTGCAAGAGGAAGATAAAAGTGAGGGCTTTTCCTTTAGCTAATGAACACAAGAGGTCCACACAGAAAAACCAACACAAGGATGATTCAATTATCCAACTACTAGCTCAGGAATCCCCCTCCTTTGTAAATACCTCTTGCACAAAGAGTAATGTTTTCCCCTGGTGCAATAAATAACTTTTTATTCCCACTGCCACGGAAAGTTCACCTGTACAGACAATCACAGCGTCTGCCCTCATATTTGTTACTGCGGCCTTTTAATTTGACCTGAACCTGCCTGTCATGGTCCATCAAACGTGGGAATCGGATACCTTAGGAACACAGGCGCCTTTGCTTTGCGTTATGGCCCGCCACCACCTCCCAGAGCCCTAACACATTGATTCTGGGAGGAGAGAGAAAGTCACCCGCATCACATGAATCAAGCACTGTGACAGGGGTCCGTTAGGTCTGGGATCACACGGAGGATCACAAGTCTCTCTTTTTATTTCTCTCTCTCTCCCATCTGTATTAGCTGGGGATGAGAGGCACGGGATGGCCCTCTAAAGGCATATATTTCCGTTGATGAAGAGATAAATCAGATCATTTCTGGAGTAAGGAAGGGAGCACAGAGAGAGCCTTCTTGGTCATTCCCCTTTGAGATGTAAATAGCACGGTGGCACTGAAAGAGGGCCAGGTGTCTGATGCAAAGAGGGAAAGCGTGACGGTGCATGCATTCCTCAGGGACCTAGAACATTAACTGTTGCTGTGCCTTATGCGGGTCAACATCAGCAGATTCTATAATGGTCGATAATGGCCTTGCTGGAGTAACGCAATCAGAACAAGTACCCCATCTCCAGTAAAATTTTAATCATGTCTACACATGTGTGCATTGATATTTAAACAATAAGAAAGTTAAAGTTTCCCAGTTATGAGGAACCTCTGCATTCTGCAAAAAACTACACTAAACCCTGAAGACCAGAGGTCAACAGCTGCAGGTCACACCTTGCTGGACGATTAAAAATGAGTTAGCACGCTTTTTGGGGTCATCAAGACAACAATTTGACAACTCTTTAGAGCCTGGGGGGAAAAAACCTTCAAATGTCCCACACCTTAAAGGTGAAGAAAAGAGGTCAAACTGTGAATTAAGAAAAGAATGGCACTCTGTTATTAGACTTAAGAGGGGGCCTGAGTCAGTCAAGCTGCTGAGAAAGCCTGACAGGAGAAGGGTCGAATATGCTGGACATACATTCCTACAGTGGCTTTACAACCTTTCTTTCTTCATACTTAGACAAATAGACAACAAACCACAGACTCCCAATTGATAAGATTTTGTACCACACTGTTGTATCTGAGATGTCAGGGTTGACATAATGCAGAATAACATCGTTATAGGAAAGGAAATTTATCACTGGAGGGGATAAATCATCATATAACACTATGCCAGATTAAATGTAGTTTATCTTTATTGTTGTAAAAGCCTCCTTAAAAACCATCCAGTTCCAGTTCAACCAGGAAACTTCTGCTTAAGCACACTTTCATCCAGTATAACTCCAAAATTTGTCTTTTGGTTTTTAAATATATATTTTTTGTATTCCTTTTTTGCAAAATCTTGATATCAATCTCCTATATTTACTTTTTATGTAGCGTAGTTTACATTACATACTGGAAACCTGAGGAAACAGCTAGCCTGACTCTATTAAAAGCAACAGAATAAACTTACCAGCATGTCTTTCACTACTAAATGCCTCGAAACCCCTCATGGCAGTGTTTTGGGGGAAATAACAAGAAAAAACACAAAACATACCATTAACTACACTAGCATTTTTAAGCTAAGCTAACAGGCTGCTTCGCAGTTACACATTTAGCATAACCACACTGACCTTCAGAAAGAAAACAAATACACTGTACCAAAAATAAAAACATACAGACAGCCAAAAATAAAATAATAATAGTAATTTATTTGGTACGTGTGAACTATTACTTACCCAGTGTCATTCGGAATTGTGCTGCCTTTAGGGGAAAGTGAGGAAGTCAGGTGTGATGCCCAAAAAGTTGTAAATTAGTTGTAAATGACTTGTTGGTCTATAGTCTGTTAAACATATGTATAACATAGCTTTCATGAATGACATCAAGTCATGCCGAGCCAGAATTAAAGATATTTTAAGTGGCCAAAAAGGACTGGATTGATCACAATCATACTGTTGGTACAAGTCATGTCTTGACCGGTTGACTACAGTCCATTTACCAATATAAACACACAGAAACATCACAAATCACTTTTTGGCACCCTGGCCTAAAAACCTGCCAAATCAAACATACTAAGCTGCCCGTTTCCACAACTGAAGAATTTATTTTGGTTATCCATAAAGCACGGATCTCAAAATTTCAGCTTACACAGAAATAACTCAGATGTGTAACAGTAAGTTGAAATTTTTATGTAAACTGAAATGCACTTAGCTTTGCTTTGCTAGGCAGATTTAAAAAAAAAAAAAAACAACAAAAGACAACTTACTAATAAACGATAATTTGGCCAACTTCTTAAAACACACCCAAGAACTTTTTGGTTCATTGTTTTTGAATCATTCTGTGAAATAAAATCAGTGGCCTATAGGCACGTACATCAACTGTTCTTTTAAAAAAAAAAAAAATCGTATGCAACAAGGTTTTTTCCCCCCCACTTTCCCATTGGTTTGAAGGCTTTTTCTCTCCCATATATAATGTCCCCGACGTAAAACAAACAGCAGTCAATACCTGGTTGTAGAACAAATTTATTCATAAGTAGAGCTGTCACATCACTCTCAAACGTGGCATTTTTGAAAAAAATGTAACGCAAAACAGTATTTAATGTAACAATTGACCTTGTGCTGGTGCAGCATTAAGGAAAAAAAAAAGAAAAAAGTGGAATTAATGGAGACATCTTGGATCGCATTCGGCTTGTCACTCACATACAGGCAAACTTCTCATTTCCAAGAGATGACTCTGGTCCGCCATCTGCTGGTGAACATGGGGCATTACATATAAACAGGTCTAAAGATCCCGGCGTTTAATAACAATCTAGATTGACAGCAATCATATAAGCAACACAGCCACTTATCTGCAAGACTAAAACTCATGCCACGGGAGTTCTGGAGTTTTTAAAACCTAGTAGCAACAGTAACACTTTTAGAGAAAAAGCATTTTAGTGGCAAAGGTTCCCCTGAAAATTTTTTCCCCCCCTAGTGTTACAAATGCTGATCAAAAAAAAAAAAAAAAAGGAAGAAAATATATATATACCGTCTCTGACTGCAAATGACATACATAGCTACCTCTGTAGCATCTGTAACTGCATGACAAAAAATATAGCAGTATACACTGAAAATACAGTTCATTACATTCATTACATTTTTTTTTTTTATATCGTATGTACACAAAGAGCATTAAATTAAAATATGAATGAAATGTGAGGATTTGCGGCACAAGCAACTAAACTATTGCATAAGGGGAGAGTGATCGCTTGATAAATGTCATCTTTTTATATCCCCGCTGCGTTTTATAACTGAGCTGAACATGCGCTTTATTAGCAAAGACTCTTTTAATATTAGTTATGCACAAACACATTTAACACACGTGCACTTGTGTTTGTCAAGACTCCCTTTACCATTGTATTGATAGTTGAGAAAGACTAGGAATGCCACCAAAATAAGACTGTGGTGTTTTGGAGGGAAAAAAAGAAAAGACAAAGAGCCTCACAATCCATGCATGCTACCGCATTTCCCCCCAAAAATACAAACAGCTACAGAAATCCCAGTAAATCCTTAAATCCCGTGATCCCTCGTGACTGCACAGAAAATGAGCCTGGTCACATGCAGGGGTCGTAGATCATCTCAGAGTAACAGTCTTAATTTGCTTTGGAAGCTCTAGCAAAAAACAAACACTCAAAATACATAAATGACCTTAATGGTTTCACATGTCCAAATAGACCTTAAGCAGAGCCAAAAGGAAGGTCAGCACCATTAGGCGATTTGCTTCGTGTGCACAAACACAATCAGGCAGATTTGCATTGGGTAAGAGGTGGTCTTTAAAATGATTAGCTTTTAAGAAGGCAGGAATGTGTCATACAGTGAGGAAAGTCCAGTGTTCTCCACTCTGCTGCCTGGGAATGACTGGTGAGCCGAAGTGGCTGGAAGTGCCTCACACAGTGAGAAGAGGAGCTTATACACAGCTAAACAGCAGTTCAACTGATTCAGGAAAAACAACTGTGAGAGAAAATGTAATCTCAACTTCAGAGAAGTACGCTTGTACCTACTCCCAATTTTACTGAATCCCATCCTCGCTGTGGTTGCCTCTCCTAAGAGCATGTATAGCTGCAAGGCTGCCCTCTAGTGGAAACCCCCCCCAAAATGAAATAAAGACTTGAGAGGCTGAAATGTGTGGCGCGTGCATCAGGAGTTTACATCCTCTGCTGCACATTATTACAAGAGAACTTGAGTGAAAACGCATAAACTGCAAGAAATCCGGCACCTTACTAAGATTACCGAACACTTGAAATACACTGCCCTCAGTAAAGCAGTAACTTGTCTCCCTTCCAAAAAAACAATACTAAGACTTATGGTCGAAATAAGAGAATCAAGCATTAAGAGGAAGCATCCGTCAGCTCTGTAGTGACAAATAGCAAAAGCATTTAAGTAGTTTTATACATGGTAAAGGTGCTTTAGTGTATGCTGTTAATATCAAAGGCAAACTTGTGTGGAAATAAGCAAATGCATACAAAGTAGTCCGATATTAGAAAAAAAATAGGTTATGCTGGCCACTCAGAGACTTCGGCAAGGCTGGCTGGTTGTTGACGGAAGAGTGCTGGTGCTTTGTCCACACCCACACTTTCAGAGCTACAAGTATGTGTCCTGCTCTGTGCTGCTGAGGCTTTGTGTAGATCGCTGAAGAGTAGATTCTTTGGCAGAGGGGAGGTCTGTAGGAGGTGTTTTCTGCTCTCCAGCTGAGTCCGTTTCAGTCTGCGCCGCGGCCTCTGGCGTCACACTGTTGCCTGGAGGCGGGGCAGGCGGTTCTGTGGATGACGATTGAGGGTCACTGAGAAGAGGGTAAGGATTGGGAATCTCCTCTGTGGGCTGGGATTTTTTCATGCTCTTCTTTTTCTTACTCTTCTTCTCCTCCTTGCCCTTCTGCAGCTGTGGGGTAGTCTGAGGCACTTCAAGTACAATGGTGGGGTTCTGCTGCAGGTCCTGACGCCTGGGTGGCTCAGCCAGCATGATGATCCGAGCGCCGTGCATTCTCGGAGGCGGTTTGAAATTGAGCTCCCCGCGGTTCTTCTTCCAGCGCTTGAGCTGGGTGTGATGCTCTCGTTCCACGTCTCGCGCCGTCACCGGCACCTCGAGAATCTGCAAAAGGAAAAATCAAGTCACCCGGTCACTGCTGTGCTCACATGTTCCTTCCATGACTGGCCATTGTACTGAGACTGTGAACTTTGTCTGCAAATGCCAAATGACCGCCACACACAGTCAAGCCGGCGCTACATATAACAGGGGGTATTGTTTGGGAAGACAGACCCTCACACAAAGCTCGATACAAGGAACCAGACACCATGCAGCCAGCACTCTGGTCAATTTGTCTGTGTGTCACTTTAATTCACTCTCTCAGACTCACTGGTGTTCTCTTGACTACTTGTAGGAACACTTATTGTTCCCTCTAACTCCTCCCTCACAATATGACACAATGCTGTTTACATCACTGCCGAATAATCAGACACGACTTCTCAATAACAAAGTCAGATCACATGTTTAGAAAACATTGATATCAGCAAAATAAAATAAACTCTGTTTTTAAATGATATTTTCCTTGATTCTTGGGTAGCCTCACATGACTAGGTAATTCATGTGATGAGAAGAATGATATCTGGGATGTAGTTCCTCCTTGAAAGAGCAAACTAAAGGACAACTAGAGACCATCTTTAGGCATCTATACGACTCGCTGCTAGTGCAATACCTTCAGTTTTTGGAGACAGTTACCACATTCAACTCTAGGCCTGGATTACACTTCTAGAAGCTGCAAATCAAAGATCAGAATCACTGGCAGGACACCGAGGACATTTCAGCCTGAAGGCAAAGCAATCTGGGAAAAACCCCTTACCTCTTGAACAAGGAAACCCTCCTGCATGTATCGAGGCTCTATCGCCCTGAGAAGCTCCATGGTCTCATACTGGCCTTGGCAGGCCTTAAGCTTCTCACGAGTTCCCAACATGCACTTGAGTAGCACCAAGCCCACTCGGAAAATTATCTTCACTCCTAAAAGGAGGAAGAAGGAGCCGATGAGTCAATTTCAGAGTAAAGACGCTCTATGAGGCACCGCTGCAGATACATACCATCGCAGAGGAACATGTCCCAGACGCGCAGCACCGATGCCCAGGGTAGGGTTCTGGAGAAGGCACACATAAACCATTCAGTCATGTAGAGGATGGGGTCGATCTTATGTTTCTCCAGATGCCGGAAGGCTAGAGGGGAGACGCGTCGCAGCAGGGCGAAGAGTATCTCTCCATCTAACTGTATAGCTTCCTGAAAGAGGGAGCAGTGGGACACTCTAAACAAAAAACGTATTGTACTCTGCATTGCTGGTGCTGAAATGAGATATGCACATACACGCTCATCTATTAAATTAAACCAGTCCTTATTTCTACACATTGTTTTCCCATTATGCACGACTACCCAGATTTTGCACTTATGAGGAAACATTTAATTAGCAAACCTTCTTTCATAACATGGAATTCATAACTGCAACAGAAACCAAGAGGAGGCAATTATTACGCAAGAAAGTTTAGTCAAACAGCTTACTGAGAAAATAAGTCTGTAAACAGCCCACTGCCTTCATCAGAAAACCATAACCACAGTGCCACTGCGTCACACACACACTGTGGGAAACAAAATACACATTCTAGTTTTGCTGAGCAAAAGGCCTACAAGTAGGTGTGCACAGCTCTGGTAGCAGTGGAGTCAACTGAGGCTATATTCTCTTTGCATTTCCAACACTGAGCCATATCATCATGAACGCTTTCAAGTGTTTCAGTCTCACCAGGCCGGGACTGTAGTAACCAGGAAGATACTTCTCACAGATCTGGACCAGCCCCCAGAAAGCATCCTGTAGAATCACACACACATACACACAATGTAAGGGTAGTTCTTTGTTATACTTAGGGAGGCATTCCAGTTGTCACAGAGAAGCTGGAAAACATTAGAAATGTTCTCTTAAATACAAGATTTTCTAGCCATTCTACCCTTATGAAGCACTCGGGCCCCCTTAGGACACTGGCCAATTTGGTGTGTATAGTGTTATTGTGTCACACAGTGTGGTGTCGAACCAAAATCCTTTCCCAAGCAACTATCCACAATAAAAAGCCATCTTTGCAACACCCCGGACACTTATTTAGCTGGTAATTTACTTAATTGAAATGCTCACCAGGACAGAAAACTGCATGTATACATAACCACCACACACATCTGATAAATCCACTTCAAAGTCTGCTCTCTCTCTTATGTCTGAAGTTCATACTTTAGGTTGTGAGGAGAATTTTCCCTTCAACATATTAATTGCTTAGTGCTTTTAATGACCACAAGACTTTCCTCAAACTGAGAGTGTGTCTAAAAATCACACACCATGTCTAACTAAGCTAAACTGAATAAGTGGAATTCATGATTCCATTAGCTGATACTCTGACATACATGCAGAGACTTAATCTGTGGAATGATAGGATGTTTCCAGCGATGCTATCTGCCTTGTTTTTTAGTTCAAAATTTCCAAACCCTTTTACAGTCACCTTGGCTGCTATCATAATCTCAAATTCGATGTATTATTTATACTATGGAGCAGCTCTGGAAATCATCTACAGATTACATCATTCGTACACTCAGTCCCTCTGCAGTTCAGCTCAAAAATACTTTCCCGAGGTCACAAACTAAAACTGAGCCTTACAAAATAAAAGAAACAGCACTATTTCTATTTTCAGTGTGGATTTTAGTTTTAAAGACCATAACAAGTCTTCAAGTGTTCAGATCATCCACACCAAGGGACACAATTTATATGGTGAGTGATGGTGTGTGTTTGTATTGAAGGCAGTTCGTACCTCAGCAGGCATGTGCATAAGCAGCACTGCAGCAATAGGAGCCTGGGCCTGGCAGTATCCCTCCTCTGGTCTGTAGAGAGTATAAGCCTTAAGAACACGGAACAGGTCCTTCTGCCTGCACACACACACACACACACAAACATGCAACATTTTAGCATATTCAAATAAGATGCAGTAAACAACTCCCGTGTTGTACGTCACATTGTGGTAGACTGCTCACCCGTGTCCTCCCCGTGACACAAACATCTCGTGAAAAGGAAACTGTCGATGGAGGTCTTTCTCAATTACATCAAGCCATTTGGGGTCTCCCGGCTGGCTATCCAGCTCCTGACAAAAAGAGCATGGGGGACATGAGAGTGAGATCTCTTTGTGATACGGTATAAGTGATTATATTGTCTTTAAGTAGGAGGACTACAAACCCCTGATTCTTTTTTATAGGATTTAGTGATCTCAGCAATAAATTAAGTTATTCATTCACTATAAAGGTCACTGAATTGTCTAACCACTGCATAAGCAGAGGCTAGTTTTAAACTTTATATTTGAAAAGATTCAAGATCTGCATCATTATTCATTTGATGCTAGCATGCATTTTGAACACTTAACCTGAATAGAAAACAAACCAAACAAAAAAGATCAATAATAAAAACTGCCATTGCTCCAGCTCTTTGGTAAAAATATCTGGGTTCTCACTCACATGAGTAATGCTTGTGGATGACCACACTTTCAGTACCAATTTCAAATGAAATTTAAAAATGAAATGAGCTCAAAGTAGAGTTTAAGCAGAGATGTGAGGAGGAAGTGAAAGAGGAAGCTGTCGGACCTGAAACTTTCCTTGGTTCTGCTCTCTCTTCACCTTCCCACCAGACAGGTAGAGCCATGCACGGCCTCTGAGGGCAGGAGGAATTCCTTTCTGGCACCGCAGCCTCACCTGAGTCACAGAACAAAAGGGTTTCCCAAATAAAGCAATATACCAAAGGACCATGGGAGAATGTAGCTTGAGAAAAGCTAAGAGAGGCAATCTGGTGCGCAGATACAGCAAATGGTTTTCATCAGAGCGCTGCCACTGGTATTTGTTCCCTTTTTTGAATAAGTGTAGTTTTGTACTTAGAAACTAACAGCTTACACTTAGGATGTAAGTGCAGCACTGCATGCACTCTAAAAACTCTTACAACCCAGTGATTTGACTTCCTTCTTTTCAGCAATGAAAATGGCCAGTTACTACTTATCTAGATCACCAATTTATTTGGCAGATGCAAGATCAGAATTTGATCAAAGACGAGCCAAAATTTGGGGATATTCTAACACCTGAGTCTCTTATTAAAGCTTCAGTTATACATGTAACATTAAAAACATGCCACGTGATTTATATCTTCAGGATGCAGAAAACAAAACATTATCTCCAAGGGGGCGACTACTTAAGGTGCATAGAAACATAAACAGAAGTCATACACAAACACTCTACCACCTGTGACTCGGGGAGTAGAGCGGGTCGTCTTCTTATCGGAAAGTCAGACTCCTCCAGTGTGCGTGCTGGAGGAGTATCTTGGGCAAGATACCGAACCCCAAAATGATCTAAAGGCATCCAGCAGCGTGCGAGTGTGTGGAAGGGATAAGCATAGAAAAAAGCTTGTTGCTGCAACTGTAGGAAGAACATTATGACCTTCAAAAGGGCCAAAATATACTAAAATGAATGCTGCAAAACATGACATTGATAAAATTTGATCTCAACTCGTGCCATCTCTCCAAGTTGAGGCTTTGCAATCTTTCAGCAGGAATCACAAACAGGTGTTGTCGCAACAGATTAGCTGACCCGACCTTCACATTTGAGTCCTCTTGAGACTTTTGACTTGACTTGCATTATTACCCTTTCTGAGCACATTTGTTTGCTCTAAAGCAAAGCTGGCACACTTCCTCAAGAACATTACAGTTCCTACTGTACAATTATTATCAATCATGGGGGCACAATAAAGGATTAGAAACCCTGACCTTTATTAGTACATGTACAGCGAGAAAAGGAACACTTCTCGCCGCTAAATTAGCCGTTTCTGTCATGTATTGAGCCACTTTTTGTATTCCTTTTGAAAGAGAATCATTTTATATGAAGCCAGTACAATCCCACCCTGAATCTGAAACCGGTAATTTTTCATACAGTATATGCAGTGATACAGGGACGGGGTTGTGTCCTGGCTTGCTGCTGATTCATGGGTGTGAGGTTAAGTTGCAGCTTTACGTCGATTCGCTGAGAGCATTTCACACAGAACCAGCTAGACAAGCAAAACTGCAAAACAAAGTGTATACAAAGTCTGTTCCTTGTGCAATCATTTGAGCGTTACCGTTTGCTTTGTTTGATCATGTGTAAGAGTACCTGTGATTGGGGGGGACAAAAACAAAAACTTCCTAGAAACGACACAATACAATTCAGCAAACCACCTTCAGAAACTCTTTAAAAGAAACTGATCTGGTGAGCTTCACATGGCTAACACCATGGAAGGCATACAACCAAGCCACATGTTTTATGTAATTGATTTAACACCTGGTGCTGACCTTATTGAATCGCTTGATCATCCACTTGTCCCAGTGGCTCAGCATGTCCAGCCACTTCACCTCTCTTTGCCTGAGCACCGCTGGAGGTATATCCTGAGCTCTGGTTACACAACAGGAGGGAGAAAAAAAATTACAAAGCTCAAATCATTTTTTGCGCTTTTTTGCTTGAAATGACAGCAAACGACACATCTTCTCTTCTTTTAGCACAGAAATAATTAGACAGGTGACAAAAGTTTTCTTGTTTTTGCAATAAGGCAAGTCTGAAATAAGCCTCCAAATTGGCCCAAGCTTTAAAAAGAAAACAATCTCACAAAGACAGTTCATCGTTCTGCATCTGCCATCAGATCTGTGTGTGTGGCCATCACTCATTTGCAGTCAGCGAACTATAAAAGATACAAACTCAAGACCTATTTAATGTCAAAGCTCTCTGATCTGAAGGAGCTGCAGTCAGGATAATTTAACAGTAAAATATTTACAGGCAAGGAGGGAGGGGGGAGTCAAGGACTTTACATTATATTTTCAAACGGAAAAAGAAAACGTAAGCAAGTATAACCTACATTAGGAATTGTGGTCTGATGCTTTACTATGGTATGTAATTATCTCATCGGCACAAGCCTGTAATTGTAGGGCTGAAACGTCTTCAAAGAGCTCTTCTTATTTAAGACAGGCCTCTTCTGGTAACAAAGTGCAGTCTATGTGTTGTAGATCAGTGCAAGACTATACTGCAGCTTCAGCTCCCAGAGCCTTTAAACAATAAAGAGATACGTTTGTTGCCAAACAGTACAAGCTAAACACTGACTATCTACAGAGCTGAGCCAAAAGAGGCCCTCAGCTAAAGAGGCACCAAGAGCTGCGGCTCCAAGCCTGCCAAAACTCCACAAGACAGGAAACTCCCAGCCAGCCGGTGCTTGCCATAACTTTCACCCACTCCTTCCACTGTTTCACTGCTGTCATGCAGGCTTTAGACCCAGCACAAAAAGAAAAACGAAATAGATTTCTTACAAAAGAAAGAAAAGAAACTGATCTAAACTGTATTGCCAAAAGGCCAGAGATAAATTAAATCCAAGCATGACACAGACAGCCAGAAGTGCTCGGTCAGCACCCCCCCCTCCACCACCACCGCAAAAAACTGTGTGACAGACTAAACGAAAAACAATTTAACATTACATGGTAGAAATAAGAAGATTAATACGACTCGTTTAATCCTCATCTACGCGTTTACTGCTTGTGGTGACTGTGGCAAACAGAAAGTAATTTTAAAAAAAAGAAAGAAAGAAAAAAAGGAAAAAATAGAAACAACACGGTGCCACGCAGCTGGTTGGGAGCTCTGTTTGTCTGAGGCACATAACAACACCTGCACAACTTGTCATCACAACTAATGGACAACAGTAGGCTGCAAATTTACTACCTATTATTATTATTATCATTAAGCATGGCAAACCAACACAGATGGCCTCAGAGTTAAAGGAAACTTACGTGTCCTCTGAGTACTTCTGCGCCCCACCAATAAATCCATATTTATCCGCCTGCCTTTCGCTGGCGAAGCCGTTGATCTCAGAGTCGGATCCCAAGGAGCCTTCGTCGTCAATGTGACTGCTGCTAAGAGTCCTGATGCTCCCCGTGTCCACAGATCGACGGCCGTTTTCCATTTTGTCCATGGTAGCATAAGAAGAAGAAAAAAAAACTAGCCTTCTAGCCGGGACAGCTAACGTCAGCGAGGTTGTGGACAACCCAGTCAAATCTGCTCCTGTGCATATGCAGTCGAGTCAAACTGCACCGACGCCATGATTTCTGGGCGCGAGTTAAACTTTCCAACCGCTGTTTTGTCCGTAAATCTTTTCTAAGGGTGCGTTCCAACCGCTGGGTCACATTAAACTGGTTATGCTTGAGTTAACTTGAATGGGTTTTCCCCCAGTTTTAACATTAGCCAGCTAACTGCGTTGCTAACGTACTAAAAGTTAGCCTTAACTGCTTGTGACAACAATCCCAAACTATTTCTACATTGACCCCACCTTCAACGAACCGCCGCTACATTATTGTCTAGTTTTACATAGTTAGCCGATTACTTACTAAACCACCTGGTTAACGAACTAGTACATTTTGTCCTCGGCTAGCTGTGGCTTGGTTTTGCCGTCCTGTCATCCCACCCGAGAACACTATACAGATTTCTACATCTCCTAGTATCCCAAACCTACCGCCCTCGCCTGGGCTTTAACATCCTAATGTTACGTCTGCCCCTAGCGGCTGCAGAAGAAAGAGGAAGCGAATCCCATGTCTGCTCTTTTCTGTGAGCACATGTGACCTGTCCTAATCCATGTCATGTTGCTAGATTTGCAAACGCAGCAGCAACAAAACCAGACCATTTAAAACTCCTTTATTTCAATGAATGAATCTCGTGGGCTCTACATGTTGTTACAAATTACCACTTAAGTTGCATCACAGAGAAGAAAAAGACTGAAGCAAAAGTGTGAAATCATGACTGCCATCCAGAGTATTATCTTTTAACCTTTAAGGAGGACACGTTGTTTGCACACAATTGTATGAAAAATGCCATATAATGCAAACAAAAATTAATTTTATGACACAAAAAACAACAAAATAAAGCAACAAAAAAATCATGTCTTCTTTCTGCAAGGATGGCTCACTTCTTTCTTCCACCTCTCTCCTTCAGTGCCAGATGAATGATCGAACCGTTGCTCATGTTGTAGTAAGCCAGCGAGTTGGAATCCTTAATGAAAATACCCTGAAAAGGAACCAAAAAAAACAAAACAACAACAAATTAATAAATCAGCACTTTATATTAATTAATGCAGATGAGATCAGACATTCCAACAAAGCCATGAGCAAATCTTTACCTCATACTGCAACTTCTGTTTTCCTGCCGGCATGCCTGTAGCTTCATGGATTTTGACTTTAATGACAGACACCTGCGGAGACATTACATTTGCACATCAATAAGAATGCTGTGTGTGAAACCACTTAACCTTAAAGAGAGAAAACAAACCACATGTTGCATACCTGGTCTGTGACTGGGACAGTGAAATTCAGCACCTGGCCATTCAGCTTCCATTCACTCTTGTCCTGCATGTTAGGAACCTGTACTTTAACAGCCACTGGACCCTAGAGACAGGAAAAAGATTCAGACACAAAAACAGATGAAACTACATATCCATGTTCTACTAAGTAGGTTAGCTGTGTTTATTTTCAACTACCACAGCTGGAAACAAAGCCCTATATTACTACCATGTGCACAAAAATAACTTTTCTTTTTTGCATATCTTTAAATGAATCTGATGGTCACACAAAGTCCCAATCCAGTCTACTGAACCATGAGAGTGATGTGGTAGCACTGGTAAATTATAAATGTAACATAACACCTTTTCCACACTTTATTGATCCAACAAACCTTGTTTCTACGAAGGAACTCCTCTTCCGGAATCAGGTTATCCTCAGTCTTCATCTTCTTACTGACAGGCTCATCCTCATGAGGTGGGGGTGGGTGGATAGGTGGTGCTGGAGCAGCACTTGGTGGCTGTGGCACAGGTGGAGCAGGAACAAATGCTAGAGGAAGGGGAAAAAATAAGGTTATTTGAATTTAAATATAAAAAATAAGGAAAGCTGTGTATAAAAGGTTTGGTTACCAAATTACTCCAAGACAAGTAATATTTTCCCTAACAATGGTCATCTAGTTGTTTCTCATAAGCGCTTTAACCTTATAGAGTTGACGGATGCACAGGCATGTCCAGAACACATGATTGATGTAAGATACTATAGCAGCTATAGTATCTTACATCTATAGCTATAGTAGCTTACACGAGTCATGGGATTACGTGCAGACTTTAAACTATGTTCCAGTTTTTAAATTGTCTTGATAAGTATGATTTTATTTGACCTACAATCAATAATTTATGGTATGCTTTTGCTTGAAAATGTGATATTCTAAGGAAAGTGCTTGCAAAAATAAAAAAAAATTAAATTAAAATACAAAAAAACAACACCCTACTGGTGGAAAAATGTAACACATCAACCAATCCGAAAATTATATGGAACATGTGGCATTCGGTTGCTGAGGAGAAGTTGAGGGAGCAATGGCAAAAGAAAGAACAGCGACACCGATAGCAAGATTTGAGAATTGCAAGCCAGCCTGGAGTTTAAAGATAGTGTGTAGTCAGGAATAATCAGTGTTGCATCTTATTGTGACACCTGATTGTTTTGTAATTAGTTGTTCCAAAACAATGCCTGAGCCATTACCTGCATTTTATCTAATTCAAGAGCAAAATCAAAAGTAGTAAAAAACAGCCAACTATACCCTTGACCCTAGGGGGTTAACTTACGGGCTGGAACAACCATGGGAGGTGGTCTGGGAGCCATGATGTGAGGCGCAGAAGGCGGCATGGGAACCACGTTAATGCGGGGAGCAGGAATCATGGGCGGCATTGGGGTAATAACTTGTCCTGGTGCAAGACGCACCACAGGAGCCACAGGTGGTCTCGGAATTACAGGTACAGCAGACAAGAGAGTGGTGCGTACTGGTGGTGCCACCTGTTACATAACAACATTACGTGATAAGAAGGTACATATGTACAACAAAAAGCATTCAAATGTATACAATTACAATTTTAACTTACAGAGGGTGGGCGAGGCACCGCTGTGACAGGGGGACTAGGTTTAGGCAAACTGGGTGCAGAGGAGGGGATGGGTGGCTGGTGATGAATTTCACTTGGCTTGCTAGGGCCAATTTTCTCTTTAGTGTCATCTTCTCCCACCAGTCCTTTGGCCTTGTGAATGGCTTCTATCTGCTCTTGCAGGGTAATGTTGGCCTGCGCTGCCTGCTGTGTACGAGCCATGCTTCCAGAGTGGCCATCCCAGGTAACCTGAAATGCAAAAGAATACAATTATTATTGTTATTATTATTGTTAAAGACAGTTTTATAAAAACTGCAGTTACTCAGTGTTTTTACCTTCTCCTCTGGCTTTTGGATTTCTTCTTCCCCAATCTTTTTACCGATGGCCGTCTCTTCCACACCGAAGATATCAGTACGCCTCTCAGCCAGCTGTTTCAAGCTGCTCTCGATATCCAAACCAGGAGCATAAACTTCATCCTCAGTCTGTCTGTCTCTGATGCTGCGGTCTCTTTGCTCCAGCCAGCGTGGATCTAGCAGACCGATACGCATGTGCTCTGGCATCTTACTGGCTGGGATCTTCTCACCGGTAATGGGAGAGATGAGGTACTCGTCTGGAACTGCAACTGAGGGCTGAGGCTTGGATGCTGTAATGAAAAGGTAACATTAGTTAAAAAACAAAAACAAACAAATTGTACAAAGTGAAAACTTGCTCACATAACGAACAGTGTTACCTTTGGGGTCGTAGTCTTTGCGAATGATAACCTGATCTGGAGTTGGAGGCAGTGGAGGTGGCATGGGGGTGTCCGGTGGCAGTGGAGCCTTCATGCCATCATCCTCATCATCAGATCCCTAAAGAAAGCAGCAGGGGATGAATCGATTTTGTTACAAGATCTTAAAGTTTTCTTCTTTTTCTTTCTCCAAGCAGTGGGTTAGAAAAGATGTCATTTAATTAAAAGAAAAACATATAGTATCAAATCTATAACTGGTCAGACATGAACAGCTTGCAATCCGCAGTAATTAATTACTCCATCAGTTCTAACCTCATCCATGTCCTGCACTTGTGTGTCTTGATCAGGCTGTGAAGGCTGGCCTTCACCCCTATCCTCCCGCTCGTCATCTTCACCATCGCTCTCCACTTCCATCTCTACCTCCTCACTCTCTCCAAACTTCTCATAGCGCTCCTGGATCAGGATGCGAGCGCCGAGCTCCTCTGGTGTGGTAGGCGGTGGGAAGTGGCCTAAGGAATTTGAGATGCCAATAAAGATTAAATGATTGTACCAATATTTACAGATGGGGGTTACTATTTAAAGATATAGTTACTGTGGTTATAATTACCTTGTTCATTAGGCTGGAAATCCACTGTTTCGACCACTACAAAGTCATGCCAGTCAATTTGGGCATATGCAACTCGTTCTTTCTCCCTTTCCTCCTCCTCCTTCTTCCTCTCGCGCTCCTGGTACTTTGCCCATTCAACACGGTACCTTACCTGATGGTTGGACAACAGGACATATTACAACCATGGGAAAGAGCAAATGTAAACGGTTATTTTGAGAAGCAGTCACTGTTAAAACAGAATACCTGGTCCATAACCTCTTTTGGGTTCTCGGCTTCCTTCTTGAGTTTGGTCAGTAAGCCTTTGGGAGGGATCAGAATCTAAAGGATTAAAGTCGAGAATCAATATAATGCTTAGAAAGTTTAGAATCACCACTTGAATAAATACACACCCAGAGAAGCCCAATCTGTTAAGTCACCTTAGTATACTGCTCCACCAGCTTGGTGAAGTAATTGAAAAGGCTGTGCTGTGGTCGCAAAAAGTCAAACTGGTAGTTCCTCTGTTCCTTCTGCATGAGCTGAGTGAGAAACTGGCGCCCGTTGCGAGCAACAAACTGGGCAGTGAGCTTGACAACATCCAGGTCAAATGCTGAGATTGATGGAGGATCTGCAATGAACTCAAACTCAGGGGGAGGTTCTTTGGGGACCACTGTCTCCTGAATCACCTGTGACTGAACCTAAAAAACATGTAAAATATTAGTCAGGGTCAAAGACTACCAGACCAGTTTTTTTTAATTAAAAAAAATAAAAATAAAGTGCAAAGTGAAGTTCAATGACTTACTTTCTGAGGAAGCTGCTGGGACTGTTGCATAGCCTGCTGCATAACTTTGGGCACAGCTGCAGATGGCTCTTGAGCTTTCCCCTCCTTAAATTCATTGACTTTGTGGCGATAGTAGGCATGGTAGGGGTCATTCGGGTTGAGGAAGTTAAACTTTGGATTGTTGATCTCATTCTGACGGATTCTTGCCTCAAATTCAGGCCCGTTCCTGTGAATTGGCAAGAATTAGATATGCCATATACATGAAATCCAGTTACCATTACATATTTAAAAAGCTGCCACACATAAAATAACCAACCTTGCAACAAAGCTGGCTGTCTTGTCAACAATGTTTCGGACCTCGGGAGGTGGATAAATGATACCAACAATAGGTTTTGTGGCTGGCGTTTCTTCTGCTGTTGAATCATTCTGTTGCCGCAAAAGCACATTTGTTAGTTAGAATAAACCAAAGAAGGGTTAGATGAATAAATAAAAGAATAAGGTAAAAACAACAACAGTGGACCACTTAACACCCACCCGATGTTAAAGCTTTTCCAACTACACCAAGTAATATTTCCCCTTCTCTACTACAATTTACAACACTCAAAGCATAGACAACATTTTGAAAAAATTGAAATTTCCCTACAGTAGTCCACATCATACCGTAAAAACTACCAAGTGCTCTGATGAAAGTAGGTCGGTGAATTTTCTACGTGAAAAAATGTGGTTCTGTACAAAACACATTGATCCAAATATCAGTTTTCAATTTAGCAAGTGACAGCAAAGTCTCAGCAATTACCTTCAGGTTCGAACAGAGATTTTAGACGTTGTGTGTAGATTTACCATCGCAGCTAACTACGGGCTAGCAAGGTTTAATGCTGCGACCTCAAACGTTTAGCGAAAGAAAAAGAAATAGACGCTAGCTGTTCGCTAAATTCAAAAATCAAAGAGACAGTTCAAAGTATAGAAAGACAAAAAATTAACCCAGTCCACAAGTTAGCCGAAAAAAAGCAAGCAGTATGTAGGCTACACTGCTGGCATTAGCTAACTAGCAGCGGTACCCTTACCTTGTTGTTAGCCTCCGGCTGAACGATTTGAACAGGCCCAGGCGGCATGGCTGCGACTTATTGTAAAACTGGAAGTAACCTGCAAACACAAAACCAACAAGAAAAAATACGTATTTTAAACACTCCTTTTTAGCACATGTTATGTCAACAATAAAGGCTACAGGAGCTAAAAGCTTAAAATTTGCCGTGGTTAAACACACTTACTACGTCGCGCTTTCGTTGACCCAATGGAGATGAATTACTTCCGGAAATAAACCGCACAGCATTGTGGAACTTGGAGTACTTTTTTTGGACGTTGCCAAGGAGATACGGTATCAACAGACTGCACAGTGTTTTTCAGAGCTGTGTCATTCATAAAATAGTTTGTCAGACATGAGTCAGTTGCTGGGTAGTCAGGACTGTATCGAAAGCCTCCGAAAAGACCTGGTTGACCTTCAGGGAGCGATTCTGGACGTGTTTTCTCGAACCGGACCGCTCCGCTTTTCTTCCTGGAAGTTCCCGGACAAGCACTCCTGTAATCTAGACATGGTAGCTCTGCTAGAGCAGTATGACTTTGTGGATGGGGAAGATGCGTTCAATCAGCACTCCCACATTGTTTTACTGGAGTTGGTGGTTGACAGGTAATACATAACAATGGCAATTTTATTATATAGCACATTTACATGAAAATTCATGTGCCTAACACAGAAAATTAAGAAACATAAAAATGTTAGATGTTTTAATATTGCTATTATTATTACATGCACAGTGAAAATAAACGCGGTTTACACTGTACAATGAAATTCTTATTTTGCCAGTGTCCCGTTGGGCCCATGCCTTGTGGATGTTTGCAAACAGACCTGTACAAATTAGTGCAGTAGCAGATAATGATAGTATAGTAACAGCCAACAGTAGTGTTGGTGTGGGAGCGGGGCAGTGCTGATTGTCTCATTCAGGAGTCCGATGGCCAACAGCTAGAAGCTACAGAGAGTATTAGTGCTTGATTTCAGACTCCTATAGAATCTACCTGAGGGCAAAAGTGTGGAGAGGTGGTGGGTGTGTATTGTCTCTAAAAATGTTGTGAGCCCTTGGTCGTGTAAATGCCGTGTAGTGATGTGAAGGCTGCTCCTGTGATGCACTGTGCAGTTTTTATCCCACGTTGGAGATCCTTCCAGTACCACTCTGTAACTGAGGTGGTGATGATGTGCTCAACTGTACAATGAGTTGCAAAAACAAATGCTAGAAAAAATGAGAATTTTAGTCGACATGCCACTTTCTCAGCCATCTTAGGAAGTACAGTCTTTACTGTGATTTCTTGAGAAACTTCTGGATGTTGTGAGATCTTCCTTAATGTGTGTCCCTTGGAATTTAAAGGTTTTCACCTTCTCTACCTGTCTCACAGATGTCTGCTGTGTGTATGCTGCTTTATCCTTCTCTTCACATAAAAAAATCAAGAGCTGTCGGTCTTATCTGCACTTAGGAAGAGATTATTTTGCCACCAAGCCACCAGAACTGCCATTTTGTTTTCTATATGCCATCAGTGATCAGCCTAATGATTGCGGTATCATCTGTGAACTTTATAATGCTGCTGTTTGATGAATAGACATGAACAAAATCATTGGTACCCTTCTGTTGAAGGAGGAAAAACTCACACTAATCACTGAAATAACTTGAAACTGACAAAAGAAATAATCAGCAAAATTTGACATTACATTACATAAACACATAATAATTGTTAAAAAATTTTCTTTCCCTCCCTCTGTGGCTGAACAAGACTGCTGCTTCTTGTACAAAGCTCCAGTGCTTACATTGACCGACTGAGGGGCAGCCACAGGAGAGAACAAACGCCACAGAAGGGATGCCTGTCAGTTGGTCTCATAGTCACAAACTACTGGAGTAATTTAGTTCAATTTGCCAACATAAAGGTAGGCAGACTGCTTCATTTTAGTGAAGGCATAATTAAAAATGATGGCATAATGTTGCCAGTTAACTGATAGATCTCAGTGCTTTAGGCTGTCTTTCCTTTCTTAGGAGTCTGAACTCAGTAAAAGGCAGATGGAAAGAAACAGTGATGAGACAAACACTGCATCACCTGTCTCACCTCAAATGAGCTCAAGAACCGACTTTTGCAGGCGTTGCTTGTCTGCTTGGTCTTCAACGAGCACATTTGAAATTTCCCCACAGAATCTCACATCCTCCAGTCCCACCCACAGCAGTCCATGCTCTCCTGTGTTTAGCAGTCAAAACAAAAGCTGCCAGACTGTCGAATCATCACTCATTCCATGCGATGCGTGTCATCAAGTGCAAACGCTTTTGAGAAAGACAGGAGACGCTCTGGTAGACCTGCTTCAGAGCGAGGGCCTGCCCTCATCTCTGCAGCCTCTCTTAGCAGCTGTGGATGACTCTCTGGAGCTGGGACGCATGACAGCAGGCGATGTTTCCCAGTGGGCCAATGAACAGCGCAGGGACACGCGCAGGCTGGAAAAACACCTTCAAGATGTGCGCTGTACGGTGCAGCCTCTTAAAGACAGACTAGCAGCGGCAGAAGAGGAACAGAAAAGATTCAGGTCCCAGCTGGAAAGAGCACAAAAAGACTTCAACCAAGAGAAGGAAAAGCTTCAAATAAATTCAGTCCAGCTTGAATTTTCGCTGCAGAAAGCACAGAGAGTCATTAAAGAAACAGAGAAAAGGCTACATGAGGAGCAACAGCAACATAAGAGGGGTGAGTGAAATTGTGAATAAACATGATGAGAATTCACTGGAATCACTTTTCTACTTTCACATTTTTGAACACAGACACTATGTCCTTGGAAGAGATGAATTTCAAACTGAAGGAGGAAATAGCATTGCAGCAAAATACCTTAAAAGCACTGGGTAAGACACGCACCTAAGATTAATCTACAACCTTTCTTTCATTTAAAAAAAAAGAAAGTATGTTTTGCAGAACACACAAAATACATATTTATGCAGGCTAAGCATTTTTTTGTGTGTTAGAACATGAAAAGAAAGGACTGCAGGAGAGTCTGAACACCTTACAAATAGAGGAAGAGGCCTGTTCTAAACTGCAGCACAGGATCCAGCAGTTAGAGAGTCAGATCTCCGACATTCAGCTCCTGCTTGATAAGGAGAAAGCCAAGTACCAGAGTGCCTGCCGTCAGCAAGAGGTCAGCATCACAGCAAGCACCTGATTATTAGTTGTTTTCCATTGGGCACTGTGACAGACTCGCTTATGTGTGAGTCACACAGCAGTAATCAAATAGATTCATACATGTGTTGTTTGGTTGTGAAATCCAGTCAATGCAGGCAAAGCAGAAGTCTTTGTTAGAGAGAGTCAACGCTCTCGACGAAGAGTGTGAAGAGCTGCAGAAGCAGCTGGGGGAGAGAGAGGAGAGGCAGATCGGCCTACAGAGTCAGCTGCAACAGATGTCAGAGGAGAAAGAAGAACTGTGGGCTCAGCTCACTCAACAGCAGGTAGATCAGAGCTCTTAAATGCACTTTACCCATAGTAATACCCAAAGAAGACATGTTTTAACCAAGTAGTATATGCTCCTATATTTTTTCCCCATCAGGACCTGTGTTCGAAGCTCCAAAATGAGAAACAGACCCTACAAAAACACACAGATGAGCTAAAAAACTGCGTGGATGAGTTGAAGGAATATGTGCAAGCTTTGAGAGAGAGGGAGAGGCTGTTGGTGGCTTTCCCAGAGCTCAGCCCACTGGCTCAACCACAGAGTAGGCCGCTATGAATCACCTACTAACTAACATTACCTGTGTGTATTCAAATAAATGTGGCTTTGCACCTGTCAAGCACTAGTTGACTGCGGCTATTAATACTTCAGAAAGCACAGAGTGCTAGTTTGACAGACTTGGAATTATAAGATCACAAAAATGACCCAGTGCATTTGCAGATGAAAGAGACAGTAAATCGGAAAAATCAGTGCACATTAAAGTATTGCTCTTGTCTTCAATCTTGTCATTTTTAAGGAATATTTCTCATTTTATTCCATGTAAAAAAGGTACAGGAAATGTGCTTCTGGATATGGAGCAGCAACTGCAAGCAAATAGCATTCGTATAAAGGTTTTGGAGCAGGAAAATTCCACCCTTCTTAGAAGTCTGGAGAAACTGGGAGAAAGAGCACAACATAATGCAAGCAGGGTAAGTCATTAGGTAGGATTCTTGTGATGCTACATAAATAGAAAACACGTGAATAGACGTATATCATGGATGAATAAACAACTTCAAACAGGGTTTTGTGGTTGTTTATTGCTGAACATCATATATATGCATTTTTAACAGGAAGCCTTCACTCAGCAGACACACACTGCTTCTCTGCCCAGCACACCAACAGAAAAACGTCCAGCGTAAGTATTCTGCTCTTTAGATTAGTCTGAGTGATACTGTGCATCCATTGTTGCCTTCTTCTTTGCTCCACAGGCAGAGCAGTGATGCAGCAAGGCTGGGGTACGTTAACAGAGGAAAGGAAGCAGGAGGAGGAGAGAGTGGTGTGGAGTCAGAGGATCGTGTATCCGCCTCCCCCTTGTCCATACAAATCCACCTTCAAACACTCCACCTCAACACAGCGTGCACTGCTGCTAAAAGCCCTGCAAAAGTACACAGCCCTTCTCAACTTTATCACTCCCGGGCCTGGAATCAGAGGAAAAAATGAAACAGTGGAGGTGTGAGCAGAAGCTGTTTTTGCAAGCAATATACCTCGTTAAGAATTACTGGCAAAAACTACAAGTGCCTAATTTTCTTTCTACGTAAATTCTGTTTTTTTGAGTTTGTGTGATTACATATTGTCATTATGTACAGTTATGGCAGTTAATATTACAGTTAAGATGGATTGCTCCATAATAAACACATTATTAATAAAGACTGTTTTTCACCGCTGTTAAAATAGGGCAGTTATGGCCCCTGCATATTAGGTTTCATGAAATGTGATATGCTTTCTCAAACAAGCCTGGATGTATCTGAATGGATAGCCTTCCCTCCGGATTGATCACATGGTTCTAAGTAAATAGGTAAAGTACCTTGAACGTCACAGAGACAGATGTCAGTGTCATTGTTTATGTGCTTGCTGACAAGGATGTGGGAGTTTCCAGGGAAACACAAGTGCTTGCTGGTTTCACTGAATCCCTTCTGACCTTCAGGTCAGTCCCTGCAGTGTAAGCTTTCAGTAAAATTGAATTGAATAAACAATCGTGTTAGTATAAACACTGACCTTTTACCAGTTTTACCTGAATGGACACATGACCTGTCATTTCAGTCACTTCACAGACAGCATGTGACCTGAAGGTTAATCCCTAATTGGCTTAACTATAGCTGTGTAATCAAGCATATAATTTAAGGTAATTTTAAGCACTTTCAACCAGTGCCATAGTTGTCACTGAAAGTCATCTCTAATGCTATGCTTGACTAAACATTTCATTCTTATGAAGAAAGATATTTTGTCATTCCAATGAGCAGTTTACCATGAATAAATATAAACTATTGTTTATTTAGCTAGTATATACATATGTAAAAAACAAAAAAACAACAACAACAACAACTTCAATGTGCCTCTATGATCTAATGGAAAATGTGTGCTTCACCTCATTTAACCTCAGTGTACTGTTGGTGTGTAGCTGTGACTTTCTTGAATAAA